TGTAAAAGCTTTTCTGCGCAAAAGCTTCTGTGTAAAAGCATCTGTGTGAGCAGGCTTCTCTGTGTACAAGCGTCTGTGTGTAAAGGCTTCTCTGTGCGAAGGCTTTTGTAAAGGGTGTGGGTGTGTGTGTGTGTGTAACATCTGAATAGATGTAAAACTTCTCTCTTTTTCTTCCTTCTGTCCTCTCCCTTTTTAAACCTAATGCAGGGGGCGACAGGGTCGCTGCATGGCTGTCGCCAACGAAGCTCCATGCAGTTGACTAGGATATGGAGTCTGATCAACTCCACGTACCTGCTTTTTCCGACATAGCAAGGGGCCAAGCTCAGAACCCCAACCACCATGATTTTATTCCTTCACGGTTGCCACAATCTGTATTGCTTGCATCAGAACCTTCCTCAGTATTTTCGCCGAGATCATGTCGCCGATTGTATTTTCGATTATTTGGATTATTTCGCCGATTGTATTTTTGATTATTTGAATTATTTCGCCGACTATGTCGCCGATGTATTTCGATTATTTTGCTGAAGATCGTGGACGTGGAAACTATTCAGGATCAGATTTGCATGTTTCAGGATTCAGTTCCTGCCGGATCATATAATGATCCATTCTTGTCTAGTGTGATATCCATGGTGGCTCCGACATGGTGCCATGGAGCCATTTGAGGCAACCCTCTTTAGGGTGAGTGATGACTGTCCTGACTGCCGAATTAACACATTTTAAGTTGGTAATTCGTTTAAGTAAAGTGCAACAGCTGGCCTTTCCGTTTTGCACCGCTTTCTGAGTGTCCTGCTGATCCTGCGGTCCCTTGTGAAACCTCGTGGAATACACCTCTGTGACTGTGAAGCCGTGCTGAACATTCAGAAACCTCCTTTTTTGCAGCAATGTCACAGCGACACAGCATCATGCCATGACAAAGGAACCAGGCAGGCACACGACTTCCAGGTGTGGTCCTCTTTCTTTTGATGGTTATCTGGTGAGGTGAAACATATCGTGCACCTAATTCGCTGGAACTTGAAAGCCGTTATATGCCCCTGTGGCTGACTTGAACACGGGCCTGGATTGGCACAACGCACGACCTTTAGGTTTAGGAACTGAATCCTGTTTTTAATTAATTGTTTTGGTTTTCCTGTCTGTCATCAACTAGTCCCCCATTTGGTCCCTAATTTCCCCGCGTGCCTCTCCGTAATGTGTCGTGGGGTTTAGGTGTGTGCGCTGTTTTGGTCAGGTCCGTTTCGCCGTGTAGGTTGGTTCCGGAGGTCCGTCTGTTCCCCTCCCCCCCTGCGCTGTTTTTGGCCTTTTGCCCTTCGTGTGTCCGCTTTTTTCTTCCTCTTGCCTTTCAGGGTTGACCCGGCTCTGGCCGGGTGTGTGTGTGTAACATCTGAATAGATGTAAAACTTCTCTCTTTTTCTTCCTTCTGTCCTCTCCCTTTTTAAACCTAATGCAGGGGGCGACAGGGTCGCTGCATGGCTGTCGCCAACGAAGCTCCATGCAGTTGACTAGGATATGGAGTCTGATCAACTCCACGTACCTGCTTTTTCCGACATAGCAAGGGGCCAAGCTCAGAACCCCAACCACCATGATTTTATTCCTTCACGGTTGCCACAATCTGTATTGCTTGCATCAGAACCTTCCTCAGTATTTTCGCCGAGATCATGTCGCCGATTGTATTTTCGATTTTTTGGATTATTTCGCCGATTGTATTTTTGATTATTTGAATTATTTCGCCGACTATGTCGCCGATGTATTTCGATTATTTTGCTGAAGATCGTGGACGTGGAAACTATTCAGGATCAGATTTGCATGTTTCAGGATTCAGTTCCTGCCGGATCATATAATGATCCATTCTTGTCTAGTGTGTGTGTGTTAAAGCTGCTCTGTATAAAGGCCTCTCTTGGTCAAAGCTTCTGTGTGCAAAATCTTCTTTGTGTAGATGCGCCTGCGTGAACGCTGCTCTGTCTAAAAGCTTTCCTCTGTAAAGGCTTCTGCGTGTGAAGGCTTCTCTGTGTAAAAGCGTCTGTTGAAAAAGCTGCTCTGTGTAAAGGCTTCTGTGTGCAAAGCATCTGTGTGTAAAGTGTCTGCGTGTTAAAGCTCTGTCTCAAGGCTGCTCTGTGTAAAAGCATCTGTGTGGAAAGGCTTCTTTGTGTAGAGCGTCTCTGTGTAAAACTTTCTGCGCGTCAAATGGCTTCTGTGTGTAAAGGCTATTCTGTGCAAAAGTCCTTGTGAGGAAAGTCTGCTCTGTGTGTCGGCTTCTCTGTGTATTGCAAATGTGTTTGTGCTTGAAAGCGTCTGTGTGTAGAAGCTTCAAAAGCTTCTGTGTGTCCCGGCCTCTGTCTGTAAAAGATTCTGTGTGTAAAACCTCCCTTGTGCTAGATGTTTGCATTTGAAAGCTCTGTGGGTAAAAGCTGTTGTATGTAAAAGATTTTGTGTGTGAAGGCATATGTGTCCAAAAGCTTGCTTGGCTTTGCTAAAGGTACTATGTGTAAAAGTTTCTGTGTCCAAAAGCACCTGTATGTTTGTATGTAAAGGCTGGTCTATGTAAAGGCTTCCCTGTGTAACAGCTCCTGTGCTTAAAGGCCTTTGTCCGTAAAAGCTGCTCTGTGTGAAAGTTCCTCTTTGTCAAGCTGCTGCTCTGTGTCATGCTGCGCTGTGTAAAGGCTTCTGTGTGTAAAAGCTTCTGTGTGCAACAGCGCCTGTGTGTAAGAGCTGCTCTGTGTAAAGGCTTCTCTGTGTATTTTTTGTGTGTAAAAGCTTCTACACCCCAGCCCAGGAGCAAACCTTCTGTGGGGACACAAAATGTGTCGAGCTGCGGATATCTGTTTTACAATTTATGCACCAAATTTCTTTCGTCATCATCTTCATTGTCAGTCATGCTTCATCACCATGATCACCACCATCACCATCATCATCACCATCATCATCAACCTCATCGCCATCACAATCACCATCCATCATCATCATCACCATCATCATCGTCATCATTATCATCGCCGTCACCATCACCATCAGCATCACCATCCATCGTCATCATCACCACCATCATCATCTTCATCATCATCATTATTCATCATCACAATTTGTTTGTATGATCTTCTCGTCTCTTCCCTCCAGCTTTCTTTCGGGCCATACTGTTCTCTAGTCTATCACCTTGCCTTCGTCCACGACCACCCACGCCGTTTGACTCGCGGCGTAGGCATTAGCAACTGCATGGGGCGGCGTTGCTGAAGGCACTTGCTAAGATAGTGCTTAAAAGAGCCAGGAGGATTGATTCAAATTTTGCCTTCGGCCATATCTGGGCACTTGGTTTGGGCCTAGATGAGGCCGCAATTGTTCTCAATGGTGCCAACCAGAAGTGTTGGCGCTGATTCCCTGCACCATCTATCAAACTGCTGGGCCGCAACCTGAGTGGACACTGGAGCTTCCCCCCTTCGCAGTCCATGCGAAAGGCTGAAGCTGCTACCTGCAAGGTTTACTCAATGTACAGGAGTATACAGAGATCTTTGAATTCGATTTTGCAGGCGAAGCACACGGTTCAACCGTTGTGTTTTCCTTTTTTCCCTGCTTCAACCGCAACACTTCATTGATGTTGCTAGTGAGTAGCCTGCCGAATGAGCGGTGCTTGAGTTTTTGTTGCTGTGTGCTTGAAGCTTTTTGGCTGCACATACGCAGTTCTGGGAGGATTCCTTGGGGTTCTTGATGCAACATCGGTTTTGTGTCCTAGTGGTGTGACGACAATTCCCTATGCGGAAAGTTAAAAGAGATTTTCCATCTTGCATTCTTGGCAGCATCCTCCCATTTAGAGAATTCAATCCTGCCGGCTGTGAAGTGACCGACGCATTGGCTTTATAGAGCTCCTTGGCCAAACTCAGCGAAGGAGCTGGACGCCAAGGATGGAAAGCAGCTAATTCTTGACAATTTCGATCTTGGTGCAAGAAATGTGCGTCTGCAGCATACAAGCCCAGAAACACGGAGCAAGAATTTCTGACGCAAATCAATTTCAACATATGCAATACAAACTTGGTGCACACCTCAGTTTATAGGCACATGGCTTCATTCCTGGTGCCAACATACAGATTGTCCTGCGCAACACCTTGGCTTCTGTGTGGTTGGCCGCATTTTCACACGGGATTTTCAGCAATACAAAGATTTTGCTGTTTTTCAAGTTTTTGAAACACACTCATTGTTGACCTTTTGCGTTTTTTCTTGTTTGTTGCGGTTTTCGATGGCATTCAACCAAGCATATCCAAGCATTGCAGCTATATTGTGATATGTTTTGACGGGTTTATCCCACGCCAACGGCTGCAAAGCGGAGGCTTTGTGGAAGCTGGAAGACCAGCAAGCGGAGGAGGCCTTGCAGTCGCATAGCAACAAACATGTGGGTCACATGCTGTTGGCGAAATTGTACGGGCCAAGGGCTCCGTATCTGTTGTGTCGCATGGTGGTTGAACCATTGAACCAATTTGCTTACCAGAATTCATCAACTTGTTGGGTCCAGCGCGCAGCATCGACTTTTGCTGCTTGCCTTCCTTTGGGCATTCATTTTGTTTGGGAAGCATGCTACGTTGGTCTTTGCCTGTTATTGGCCATGTCTAGCCGCAGCCAGCCGGCAGCATTTTGAGAAAAATCCTGGGTTAAAAGTCCACGTTGCCTTTGTTATCGCCGCATTTTCTCTGCCATCGCCTGATTTGCTCAACCTCGGCCAGCAGCTTGCCCAGTGAAAGACTTGGGCACCGGCCGCTTTGCTTTTTTCAGCAGTGGCCAACCTTGAAGATGAAAAGCCAAGGTTGTAGGTTTCGAGCTGTTGCAGCAAAGCATGATATGTGTGCATCAGACGGGCCAGTACACACAAGCCACAGCAATGCTTTGGAGTACTGACCCTGCTCAACTCTACAAACCCAGCCACCAACGTAGAAACAGCCCACCCCGAGTCTCCACAATACCTCTTAATACTTCAAACTCAAGGCTCCCAGCCAGCCATTCTCACAGCTGCAGTTGCGCAAAACTCTTCAGAGAATTTTAGCAGCTGATGGCCTGGAGATGCAAGGAGGCCATCGCCACTGACTTAACTCAACTGAGTGCTGCTATTCCTTGTCGCTAGACCAGCGTGCTTTTGAACTCAGGGTGCTGCGCACTGCCAGTCAATCAATCAATTAATCAACCAACCAACCAACCAACCAACCAGCCAGCCAGCCAGCCAGCCAGTCAGTCAGTCAGTCAGTCGTCTTACCATTCTTGCTTTCAACCTTGTTGCTGTCGCGGCTTTGGTGGCTACCTTCGTTTGCCATGCATGCGTCATCCATCAAGCAAGGTCCTGGTGATCGATGTCGGGAAGTCCATGCAGGAGACTTTCGCTGCAGCCAACGACGGCAGCAAGGCAAGTGCGCCTGTGTTGTTGATGAGATTTGCCTGTCCAATGAGCAGCGTGACCAGCACGATAGCTTTTCACCGTTACTCCCAATTGGGAATTGCCGGGCACGGCTCGCATCCTTACTTCCACTGACATTTTGTTATCCAGCTTGATTGTTTTTTGATGCTATACTACTGTTATCCACCTTGGGGATATGTACCTTGCACATTTCACGCTGAGATGCTGTAGTATCAACGCGGCCAAGATTTTTCGAACAAAAAGCATGCAAGTTTATATCGGCAGCTTTCAGATTTCAGGTGACCAGGTTACAGACAGCGCTTGGCGTGGCACAACGCTTGGTGCAGCACCGGCTCTTCTTCTCGCCAAAAGAGGAGGCCAGGCCAAAGAAAACAAATTGGTCGCAGGGTCGTCCGGAAGTTTTGAATGCAAGACTAATGTGACGAGAATCCTGGCTTCGCATTTTCTCCGTCAAGAGCGGGTTCCTGCTTTCAAGAGGTTGGCCTCGTTTTTTTTGGCGCCCAAGAGACCAGCAACGATCTCCAGGATGGGTTGCATCAACTAAGTGCAGTGTCCCACCGAAGTCAGAACTAAGTCTGTGAACTTGATTATTGGCGTTTGACAGCCTGCATCTTTACAAGGTTTCCGGGGCCCATCAACAGCCGCATTTTCCATTCGTTTTTCCTTAATCATCCTTAAACAGTTCACACTTACCGTCAGAGTTATATACCGCTTTTTGACGGAAAAGGAAGAAACGTGCTCTATGGCGGAGGTGCGTTCCCGCCTGCGTGCTGTGTCTTTTTTTTGGGGGTATGCACGGTTGTCGTTCAGGCGCCAGAGATTTGTCGCTTTTGGAGGGTCAGAATGTTGTCTTGTGCGGCAGGCACAGAACATGAGGCATTGTTTCATCCACATGGTCTTTTTTGGATTCGGTACTTGGTCATCATGATTTTTACATGGCAGGCACGGCCCTTGGATGCCTCAGGCTCATTCTTCGTGGCGGGCGCAGTATTTCATAACCTCGACTAAGAAGCGCCCGAAACTTTTCTAGGTATTTTTCCCACCTGCCAGGTCAGGGTCTCTAGATTTTTATCAAGGTTACTTTCTCTTTCCTCCTCCTCCTCTGCAGCCCGCTTCCTCCTCCTCCTCCCATCTGCCCGCAACCTTCAACCGCGAGTGGGCACTGCCGACCTCAACACGAGCTCCGGATCACCGTGGGCACTGCCAGGCCTCAACCGCGACCTCCGGAGCTCAGTGGGCACTCCGGACCCTTGCAAGCTCCAGATCTCAGTGGGCACTGCCGGACTTCAACCGCGAGCTCCAGATCGCAGTGGGCACTGCCGGACATCAACCGGAAGCTCCAATCGCAGCCGGAACTCAACTGCCGGGCCTCAACTGCGAGCGACCACTGAGATCTGGCGCTCGCGGTTGAGGTCCGGCAGTGCCCATGTCAGAGAAAGTGTCAGAATAGATGCCAGGTAGAATGCCAGAACAGAATGTCAGATAGGATGCCAGAATCAACGCCAGAATAAATGCCAGAAAGAATGCCAGATAGAAGCCAAAATCAAATGTCAGAAAGTATCTGCCATATAATGCCATATATACTTCCAGATGGCCGAAACTATGACAAAACTTTCTCAAGGTTTGAAACACTCGAAGTAAAGTATTTCTATATTTTTCAACTTTCATTTTTTGCGGCGTCCGCAGCATTTGGTAAATTTTAACACATGCTCGCGCAACCATCTCGTGACTTTGCGCGTGTCCAATCGCTATTGTTGCAGTGCTCGTTTTGCTCGCGCAACCTTCTTGTCAGTCTGCACGTCTCGGATCGCTCTCGTTGTGGCAAGCGTCACTTGCGCAACTTTTTGTCAGCAATCATTGTCGCCTTGCGCCTGTCAGATCGCTCTCGTTGTGGCCCGGTGCCCATTTTGACATGGCACGCGCAACCATCTCGTCACTTTGCGCGTGTCAACTCACTGCATTGGTTCTGTCTGTCAAGGAAATTTGCACAGAGGTTTTTCCAAGGACATGTTTTTGAGAGAGCTTGCGCAGAGATCTTGACAAGAGATCTCTCACAAAGATCTTGCCAAGCTGTCTCGTATACAGACCTTGTACAGAGATCTTAAGAGGTCTCCTGCGGATATCTTGCCAAAAGACTTCCCGAAGACTTGCCAGGTAGAGGTTTGGTCGGGAGCTTCCGCAGAGGATCTTTTCTAGGAATCCTGCTCAATGAGTCGGAATCTTGCCAAGGGGTCTCTGACGGAGATCTTGTTAAGAGAGTTCCTATAGAGAGCTTGAACAGCGCACAAAATTCTTATTTAGAGATCCCTGGCAGAAATCTTGTATAGAGATCTGTTTGTTGTAGACACGTTTTGCAGAGACCATGCGTAGAGATCTTCCATAGTCCCCTTGTGGAGAGATCTTGCATGGAAACTTTTGTAGCAAGCTTGAACAGGGATCTTGCTTGGAGATATCTTACAGAGATCTTGTTTGGAGATCTCTTTCAGAGATCTCTTACAGAGATCATGTGCGGAGATCTCTTTTAGAGATCTTGCGCAGAGATCTCTTACACAGATCTTGCGCGGAGATCTCTTTTAGAGACCTTGCCAAGAGATGTTGACGAGTGGTCTCTTTTTGCAGGGATCTTGAAAAGATCTGCGCAGAGATCTTGCCAAGAGACCTCTTACAAAGAACTTTTACAGAGGCTCTCGACTGTGCACAGAGATATCTTTCAGCAATCTTGTGGAGACTTTTCATAGAGACCCTGTACAGGGATTTTGCGCTGAGGTCTCTCAGAGATCTTGCCAAGCAATCTGTGATAGACACCTTCTAAGATAAGTTTGCATGTGTGTAACAACTTTGCGGTGGGTATTTTGAGATTTGGCGCGACTCGCATGCTTTCCAGCACTGCAACTATTGTTTTCTAAACGCCTTGTAGGAGTCGCGCGGTGTATAGTTTCAGGCTGTGGAAGGGGCAACTCCCGCGCACAGGCTGCAAAACCACAGCCCAGCAAAAGGAAGAATCGGCTCACAGAAAGGTAGCTCAGAGAAGCAGTAGCTCAGAAAAGAACTAATTCAGAGAAGGGGCGACTCGGAAAGGATTTGGCTGAGAGGTGAGTTTGCTGAGGGCACATGTCGCTGAGAGAAGGTTAGTTTGGAGAGGAAATATAGCTGAGAGAAGAAGTAGTTGAGAGAAGAAACGGCTGAGATGAGATTTTGCTTAAAGAAGAAACGTCGGTAGCTCGGAGGAAGATGGAGGAAGTACTTGAACAAAGACTTGGCCTAGAAGAGGGATAGCTCATAGAAGGGGTAGCCGATAGCTCAGCTCAGCAAGGAAGCAGTTCTTCAAAAACGGTGGGTTGAGAGTGGAAGCAGTTCAGAGAAGAAACGGCTCAGGCAAAATGCTGCTGCGAAAAGAGTTGGCTCTATAGTCTATAGACAACTTGGGACAGAGATAATACAGTACCGGGAAATTTTCGATTATCTCAGAAGGCGTTCACAGAAAGTGGCTCAGCGACGCGTAAGAAGGTGTTAGGGAGAGGGGTAACCTAGAGAAGAATTGCTTCAGGTGGATTTGGTTCTTTCCCTGTTGGTCCTTGAGCGCCGGCCGTTCGCTCATGCATTCCTTCAATGCGCAATTCAACTGTCAAGTTTTCAAGCCATCACTGGTCAGTCATGCAATGGAATCCAAGATTGATGTCAGTCAGCAGCCCTTAGCTTCCATACCGGTTGGAATTTAAATCGATTTCGTTTTTGCTGGCATTGGCCGGCACCTATTTGCACGTGAATGCCTTAGCATCAAGTTTTCAAAGACCGCCCCTGTTGTTGCATGATGTCGTTAGCAAAAATCAATGCCGCTAGCAACCCAGAAATTGGAAATCTTGAGATTGCAAGCCCGTGCCGAATTGTGGATAAAACTAATAAACTAGTGCCGGTTTTGATTGAGAGCTGGCCGCTGTGGGAGTGCACTTTTTTCCATGCAGTCATTACATTAATCATTATATTAGTCATTATATTAGTCATTATAAAAGTCATTAAAAGAATCATTATATTTATCATTATATGAATCATTATATTAATCATTATACCAGTAGTACCGCACAAGGCGGTGGCGGAAGTTTCAAAAATAGGAAACCTATAGGAGAGGTTGGTTGTTGTGAATCAGGGATGGCAGGGCGAAGCCACAGATTGACCGAAAAGTGGTTGGAGTTGTGTTTGCTGGAGTGGTTGCAATGGTTGCAGTGGTCACCTCACCCACAACTGCTGGATGTAGTGTAATGTACTGCAACTGTAGTTGTAGTTGTAGCGTAGTGGAGTTGTAGTTGTGGTGTAATGTAATTAGTGTAGTGTAGTTGCAGTCATGAAGTTGTAGCTGTAGTTGTTTTGTAGTAGTAGTTGTTGTTGTTGTTGTAGTTGTAGTAGTAGTTGTTGTTGTTGTTGTTGTAGTTGGAGTTGTTGTTGTTGTTGTAGCTGTAGTTGTTGTGTGGGTGTAGTTGTTGTGTAGTGTAGTTGTTGTAGTAGTTGTTGTTGTAGTTGTTGTTGTTGTTGTTGTTGTTGCTGTTGTTGTTGCTGTTGTTGTAGTTGTTCTAGTTCTAGTTGTAGTTGTAGTTGTTGTTGTTGTTGCTGTTGTGTAGTTGTTTTAGTTGTAGTTGTTGTAGTTGTAGTTGTTGTGGTTGGTGTTGTTGTTGTTGTTGTTGTTGCTGTTGCTGTTGCTGTTGCTGTTGTCGTCGAAGTTAGGGTAGTTAAGTTAGTTAAGTTAGTCAAGTTAGTTGAGTTAATTAGTGTCTACCTTTTCGACATCTTCACGTCAAAAAAGGCCCAAAACCCTCAGTTTTTTTACACTTTTGACTTCGAAATGTGCTTCGCGCCACAACGGCGTGCACTTTTTCAACATCTCAACTTCCAAAAGTGGTCTGAGAATGGTGTGTTTTGTGCATTTTGATTTGGAAATGTGCTCCGCGCCACAACGGCGTGCACTTTTTCAACATCTCAACTTCCA